GGATTTCTATTATGTAATTAATCAGCTTCTATTAATTTTAATAGATAATTTCACTCTCTTTGTTCAGGTTCTATATTAAAATATTATACATCAATTTTTAAAAAAATACTATTATTATTAAATAAAAGCTTTTATTGTTGTTTTTACATTTGAAATAAACATAAAAACACTTATTAATAATATTGTAATATCATTCTCTATAAATACAATGAAAGTTGAGTAATGGGAAGTTCAAAGATAACCAATTATACAAGTTTTCTTCAAAAATAAATTATTGTCCTAAATAGGACATAAACAATATGTTTTATAAGATCAAGCGAAACCAACCTTCAAGCAATTTTGTTAAAATAATATTTCTTGGTAATTTAGAGATGGTAAAAATAGAATTGCATTGCTTTAAAAAACATATTTTTTGTACCTTTAATTATTTTTATATTTAAATACTTGTATAATTGAATATTTATATTCTCTTAATATTTAGTAAAATAAAAATTGTACCTTTACTAAAAATGAATGCCTTTACTAAGAAATTAAGATGTATTTTTTTAAAATAATGTAATAGTATGCCAAATATCAATGTCAAGTTTGTCAAATGAACACAAAGCCCAAATGTTATCTCTACGAGGATAAACCTAATACTTTCATTTTTATTTACACCTTAATGTTTTTAAATTGTTAAATATCAATTCAATTATATTAATCATGTTTACTTATTGCTGAGGTATCCATTTAATTTATGTTTTGAAATGGACTACATTTTACATGTATTTTGTTATGTTTTTGTATAACTTCATTAAAAAACAATTCCTTAGAACTTATATTTCTACAACTTTTTTTCTAAAATGTTTCAATGAAGCTATTATAATAGTTCTAATCCTTGGTATTAACTATTTGATACCTAGAAATATTTTTTAAAAAATTGATGTAAAATAGTTTATTAAAGAAAATAGACTCCGACACCCAAAGTGGGGCTAAAACATTGTCCATTAAAATAAATAAAGAATCGGAAGTGTGAAACTTCACAAATTGGTGTACATTAAAACAAGTTTTAAAAAAAATAGTAAACACAATATTCCCTCGCGCGGGCTCATTACCGCGTATGGGGAGCATCCCACGGGTGGCGGATGTGGGGATGGTCGGTGGAAATTCCTTGGAAGTTCCTCCCGGCTAAGTCCAATGGACTCGCTGACCAACAATGAGAGGGGCCCTCCAGACTTGCTGGAGGGAGGGGACCTCCAAACTTGCTGGAGGTAGGGGCCCACCAGACTTGCTGAAGGGTGTGACGTAGGATTGAACGCCCTACTCACATATCTTTAGTTCACCAAACACCACAAAAAGTCATGGATCTCCCTAAGGTAAAACGCTCATCATCCGGAGGTAAACTAGTCCCCCGTTCGGGTCTCCGGGTGGGGACTGCTTTAGGGGATTCATGGCGCAAGTTGAAATATAGGGATTTAAATATTGGTACGTGGAACGTAAGGAGTTTAAACACAGCAGGGGGGCTAAAATCGGTCGCGAATGAGGTAAATGGGTATAATTTAGATGTCGTGGCTCTGCAAGAGGTTCGCTGGCCAGGGGAGGGCTCGATGAGGGAAGGAAAGTACACTATTTGGTACGGAGGAAGCGGGAATCATTGTTTGGGTACCGGGTTTTTAATTAGGAGTAGATTACTATCCGCTTTGAGGGACGTACAATTCTTTAGTGATAGAATTTTGGTAGCTACATTTCAGGGATGTTGGTTTAAAATCGCATTAATAAACATACATTGTCCGACCGAAGACAGTGACGATGAAGTCAAAAGTGAATTTTACGATAAACTCGAATGGGTTTATGATAAACTACCGCGAAACTATATGAAAATAATTGTAGGTGACGCGAACGCAAAGGTAGGAAGGGAAGAAGTTTATATTCCGACGATTGGTAAAGAAAGTTTGCATGAATATAGTAATGATAATGGAATCCGTCTGATAAACTTTGCCATCTCGAAAAACCTGATAATTAAAAGTACGACGTTTAAACACAAGGATATTCATAAATATACTTGGACATCACCGGATTCGCAAACACAAAATCAAATCGATCATGTCTTGATACAACATAGCTGGCAAAGTAGTATAATTAATGTACGGTCTTATCGCGGAACAGAATGTGGGTCGGATCATGAATTAGTAATCGCGAAACTTCGACAAAAACTTAATATAAAAAAGAGAAAGGAAAACCGTTTCGATTTTGAGAATTTTAATTTGGAAAAATTAAAAAATACATCAATTAGAAACCAATTCGAGCTAGATGTTAAGAATAGGTTTGAAGCTTTAGAGCTTCCTGACGAGGACCACGAGGATATTGACAAGTTATGGATAGAGATCAGAGATAATATTAAAGCGGTCGGTAACTCATGTCTAGGAAAAAAGGAAAATAAGAATAACAAACCGTGGTTTGATGAAGATTGCTTAAACATGTGTGAAAAAAGAAAAGCCGCTAAATTAAAAGCTCTAAATAATCCTAGCGAAGACAATCTGGAATACTTCTGAATCTCAAAGAACGAAACGACAAAATTGCTCAAAAATAAAAAAAGGGAGTATCTTAAAAATAAAATAATTGAAATAGAAACTAATAGAATCGAAAATAACGTAAGAGACATGTACAAAGGTATAAACAGATCACGTAAATATGTAGGGCCCGTAACATCTGGAATTAGGGATGATAATAACAATATTCTGACTGATCCGGTTGACATATTGAATAAGTTTAAGGACCACTTTGACAATATTTTAAATACGGGAAATTATGATCTGTGTCCTCCTTCTGAGTACCAGAGTGCTGAACCGTTAATAGAAGGACCAAGTAAAGAGGAAGTTGAAGTAGCTATCGGAAAATTAAAATCATTTAAAGCAGCGGGAATCGATAATATTCCTACTGAACTAATTAAGGCATGCGGGGAAGCTGGAGTTTCTAAAATACATCGGTTGGTTAAAAAGATCTGGGTGAACGAGAAATTACCTGAAGAATGGAAAGAATCTATTCTTATTCCGATTCACAAAAAGGGTCCGAGGACGGATTGTAATAACTATCGAGGAATTTCACTCCTTCCGGTATGTTATAAAATATTCACTTCAATCTTAACCAGTCGAATCACGGAATACGCCGAGGAAATTATCGGAGACTACCAATGCGGTTTTAGACGGAATCGTTCGACAATTGATCAAATATTTTCTTTACGGCAAATATTAGAGAAAAAATTGGAGTATAACGGTATTGTTCACCAGCTGTATATAGATTTTAAAAAGGGTTACGATTCTATTGACCGCCAGAAACTGTATAATATTCTAATCGAGCAGGGGATTCCAAAAAAACTAGTAAATCTAGTCAGGATGTGCTTGACGGAGACACTCAATAAAGTTAGAATCGGTAATAATTTGTCCGAAAAATTTGAGGTTCGTTCGGGCTTAAAACAGGGGGATTCTCTTTCGCCTGTCCTGTTCAATTCATTAGAACATGCCATTAGGGAGGTAATGCGAACCGAGAAAGGGTTGGATCTGGGCGGGACAACATCCGTGCTGGGCTATGCTGATGATCTGGTACTGTTAAGCGAAGACGTTGAAACTATAAAACTAAATACGACAACATTAATGAAAGCCGGTAAAGAACTAGGACTCGAAATAAACGTGGATAAAACAAAATATATGGTTAGCTGCAAAAATGGCGATACTACTGGTGATATCGATATAGATGGTAATATGTTTGAACAGGTAGATAAATTTAGGTATCTAGGTTCTACGATAACTAGAAAAAACAAAATTGAAGAAGAGATTAAGGTTAGACTGAAGGCGGGGAATGCTTGTTATTTTTGTATGACAACTTAAAAATTAGAATCTATAAAACAATTATCTTGCCTACAGTTCTTTATGGATGCGAAACTTGGCCGCTTACATTAAGGGATGAGCAGCGTCTTAAGGTTTTTGAAAATAAAGTATTGCGTAGAATATTCGGACCGAAGAAGGATGAGTTAAAAGGAGAGTTCAGACGGTTACACAACGCCGAATTGTGAGAGCTGTATCCGGGTAATATAATTAAGATAATTTCATCGCGGCAAATCAAATGGGCTTGTAAAGTTGTTGGGCTTAGTAACGAGAGAATTCCTAAAAGGTTAATATTTGCTATGCCGAATGGTAAGCGTCCGAGGGGTAGACCGAAGCAAAGGTGGGAAGATTGCATTAAAGCCGATCTGAAGGGACTGGGTTTGGACGGCGAACGGTGGAGGGAGGTGTGTAACAAGCGATTGGTGGTGTCGGCATCGAACCTTCGGGTTCGCTAAGCCTTATTATTATTATTATTATAAACACAATATTCCAGAAGTAAAATAATAACCAAAATTGCACTTCCTATTATAAGTTAAATTAAATTATTAATTATCCTATTTTTGTTAGTATGTTTTAACTTGTAGGCATCCCTTAATTAAGAGAGCAATGGTCTAACTACCCACAGGGTTAAATATAAGTTGTGTTAAGTTTTTGGATACGCTTGAGACTTACTATTATTATCAGAAAAGTAAGTTGTAATTCCTTACTAAGAAATTTACACAAATCTATACCTGCCTTTATTGTACTTCTAGTAAGGTATCAATATCTAAAAGCTTTACTTTTTTACTTACACCACTTTAAATGGTTCAATAATAAGTAGTTCCTAGATTAAAACTGGATCATTGTCAGTTCTGAGGAAAAAATGAATTGAAAATGTTTGACAAATTTACTTAAATTACATGACAAATTAATATTGTAACATTATAACCTGCTATCATCAAAGGAACAAATTCTATAAATACAAAACATAGCATGATAAGTTCTGACTAAGTTAATTGTATTCACTAAAATTTTCTTAATATTGCTCTAAAAATTGAAATTTCATATAATGATAACTGATTTAAAATCTTACACATAATATATATATATATATATATATATATATATATATATATATATATATGAAAACTATCTACGTACTCTTCTGATGGTAACCTTAGTTTACAAAAATCAAGAACATCTGCAGCGAGAATTCGAATGTTATACATTTGTTTCATCTGTGAACCCAAATGGATAGTAAAGCTTTCTTGTAGTAAAGGCAATAGTTGTGTTTCAGGATTTAAAATATTTCCTCGGCCTTGCGTAATTGAAGGAGTATTCCTGAAAGAGGAAAAAGTTAATAGTTCATTAGATAAATATTTATTTTAAAAATTAAATAACATATTGAAATAGGATTTTGATTGGATAAATTCTTTAAAAAATGTTAAAGAAAATCCTAAATCAATTATTTTAGAGTATTTAGGACTTAATAAAATTCATCAAATATGGTTATTGTTCATAAACATGAAAGTGATTTTTTTAAATATCATAAATATTATTACTATTAAGGCAAGCTGGAAGGCCTGAAACAGAATCTTGAGAAGAGTTCTGAATTGGGCAAAGTCTTAAGAAACTATCATTTTGTTGTGTTGCTTATGCAAATATTCTCTTTTTGCCATTATAATTTTATTATTGAGGATGTATTTTATAAATAGGACGCAGTAAAGACCTCCTTTTTATAAACTTATTAACATCCAAAACTTTGTGAAAGGCTTCATCTTATCGTAACCTCAAATTTTTTTATTAACACAAATGGGGCGTTTTCTCATTAAATTAATTAATTTAGTGAGGTACTATAAACACATAAATACCCATTTGCTATCCACTTGAATCGTATGATAATGTGATCACAAGATTGAGGAAAAAGGCGGCCTACAAAAGTATTGGACTGTTTGGCATATAAACCTTGTTATTTTGACATATTGGGGGTGAGTCACACCAAACGGTGCAATATTTTTGTGGACCAACTTTTTTCTCAATTTTGTGTGTGATCAAATTATGGTACGATTCAAGAGCAAAGCAAATGGGTGTTAATGAGTTTTTATTGAGTAGGAAGATGGTTCAGGGTGGTGGTCATAAAAAGACTGAAATAGCAACAAACTATTTTATCTAAAGCCATTTCGACCTGACTTGGCAGGTCTTCTTCAGGGGGTTGTTATGCAGGAGGGAGTTTCGGTTGAAACTGCTTAAGTATTCATAATGAGGTTTTAGTATTTATTAATAAAATGTGTAAGTTACAATGAGGTGAACTAATTAATAATTTGATTGATGAATTTCTTTTGAGGACTAAAAGAACCCAAATTTTTAATTTGAAAGTCTATCAATTCATTGTGATAAGTTTTGTACTTTTGAGCAATAAAATTTATCATTTGGTTATTAGCTTTATTACTTGGTTTTATTTTGCGTTTTACCAAAGCTGGATAGTCAGAAAATCATAAAACATTACGTATTAAAAGAAAAATGATGTAGACACTAAAAAAACACCAATAAAATCAATTTTATCCTACACAAAAGTAAAGAATTCAAGTGTTGCAATTAAGCAGCAAACAATAAAGAAAAAAATCTTCTAGAAAAAGTAACTAGAGTAATTCTTTTAATTTTTAATATCAGTTCTGCGCAAGCGTTAGCCCTAGTTAAACATACGTCAGGTCGTCTCTTATAAAAATCTCAATTATCAGTGGCAGTATACAAGTTTAATGTGAACTATTAGTGTTATCAGTTACATTAACAATTACATTTGATAGTGGACAAAAAAATAAGGTGAGTAATCACTTATTTACAACACAAGAATGAACAGTGTAAATAGACCTTAGGTTAGTTAAATAACGGCCAGCCATATACATCGTTAATCCCACTAGTGGGCTGTGGCCCTCTGTCGGAGGAAGGTCTGTGCTGATCAGTCCTCTCCAATCACGCGTATATATTTTCGTGTTCAATAAAAATATTTGATTTTTCCTCGCTTCACTTTTATCAATTTTTCTTTTCAAAATTAATATGAAATGCGATATTATCACATGCTAATGTCGAGCAAGGGCAAAAATACTAGGTCCAGGAGCCTCGATATTACAATGAGTTCTCCCATTAAAAAAAAGACAAGGCGTTTGAAAAGAAACACTCCACCAGCCACACCAGGGAGCTCCGTAGAAGAAGTGGAACCCCAACCTGGCACCTCACAACAACCCAACAATTATGAGACAACTCAAGCTATGGGTAAAGAATCGCCGCTTTTAACTCCAAATCCATTTCAAGTGCTTTCAAATACACATAACGAACAAATGGAAGCAGCATCCACCCCCAAAGAACCCAAACCCCCACCAATATTCGTTAGAAATATTAAAAATTTTCAATTGATGTGTCATAAATTGAATAATCTAGTAGGTTCAGGAAAATATTTATGTCAAAGCCGTACCAATGACAATAAATTAATGCCCGACACTCCAGAAACTTATAGAAAAATTATAAAATATTTATCTGACACCAAGACTGATCACCAAACTGCTTGCTGGATCAGGGTAGTGAAGGAATGCACTGCATCGTCGAGGTCTTCAGGTGTTTTAAAGGAAACTCTGAGGTATATATTATCTTCCAGTATTTGTCGGAAAAGGTTCCAGTTAACTGGCCCCCTGATAAATGAAGGTGGGGATGATTTAGGAATGGGAGATATGGAAACGGTTAGGACTAGAGGACTATGGTCTGAGGAAAGATCATCAAACCTTGAAATGGAACAGTGTAGTGATCCTAGACCTTTGTGTAGGAAAAAGTCTAGATCAGGATTGCGGTTGGGATCTGTTGGCCAGTATGTGGGAGTATTAGGTGAAAGGATGTTGCTGTGATGGGAATTAAGTGCAGATAGCAATGTTCGCCATCGGGAATTTGTGGATCTGGCTCGCCATTGCTGGTGTTTTGTATTTAGATCTGCACCTTGGAAGAAGTGGTGTCCTAAGGAATTCGGGAAGGAAATTATTTGGGATTCGGAAATGGGTATTTTAGGCGGGTAATATGCTGCAACTAGTCTTATTGGGTAAAGGGGTGTTTGGATTATTACGGCTGTGGATTGGTAAGGAAAACAAATGATGGGAAACAGATCGATGGATAATTATGGCAGTGCCACCATGTGCTGTTCCATTAGGATGGTCAGTTTGATAAATATTGTAGCTGGGAACTTGGATTTGTCGTTTGTTGGTTAGTCGAGTTTCAGTTATTAGTGCTATGTTGATGTTTTGTCATGTAATAAGATTGTCAGTTCGTTGATGTGGTTCCGAATACCATTCGCATTCCAAAGGAGAATGGAGAGGAATTTAGTTGAGGACATTTATAGATTTCTTGGCAGTGGAATGAGGTTGGATATAACATTGGTAAGTAGCGAAATAAGAGATCTAAATTCGGAAAGGAAAGATGTCAGTAGGCTTGTGAGGTCAGTGGAATTGGAAGGAGGAGGTATGAATGTATGGGTATTGAACCTACGTTCAGGGATTGAGGGATATGGGTCTTGAGGTTGATGTGTGAATTCTTGAGGTTTAGGTTCTTGTGGCAGGGCCTGAGATTGAGTGTTTACAGTGTCTCCTTTGAACATCTGAGCATAGGACACTCTTCCGTTCACTGTTCTAGAGGGTTGTCTTGGTGGTCTGGATGTCCCTTCTTCTCTAGGCGTTGCGTACATTCGTGTTTTTAAATCTTTGTATGTTTGACAACCCTTGCAGTTGGCTGTCCGCGCATAAAGTGCATACTGCAGGTGAAGTTCTAGACTTCCTACAGTCCTCTGTTTTGTGTTACCACACCACCACCACACCTCACACATCAAGGAATGTGATGAGAATACCGTTTCGTATGGCCATAAGCCTGACAGTTATGGCATGGAACGATGTCGCGCTTGGTGTAGGTCTTTTCTACAACAACGCTTGTATAATAAAGGCGTGTGACCTTGTAAATGTTTTCGACCTCAGGTGTTCGGTCAAGGTCAACGAAGAATAGTGGAAGAGGTATTTTATTTTTTATTCCAGGCTGTTCTCTACCCTCCTTGAATATGTTCAATATCTGGCGAACATCGAATACCATACCGATGAGCTCTTCTTTTATAGCATCTTTTGGCGTAGATGGGTGCAATCTTCTGATAACGACCCTGAGCGCCTTGACTTGACTTGACGCAGTTGTTATGTCAGTATTATTTATTTACTTTTTATATTTATATTTATTTCTCTATTATTTGTATATATTGTGTGAATGAGAACTTTTAGCCCTAATACATATAGCCCTCCAGCAGTGGCTGATTGTATTATTATTCAATAAATAGATTATTAGTAGTAAAATTTATAATATCACCAATCACTTTTCAAAATTATTGAAATGGTTGATTGGAAAATGCTCTCATGATGATCAGATGCAACTTGATCGAAAAGTTTATGATATATTAGTTAAATTTTATTAATCAGTTCTTATTAGTAAAATAATTTAAAGGCCAGTAACAATTATATGTGTAATGTAAAATTATATAAAATAATGCAATATTGTATATATATATATATATATATATATATATTTAACATTCTTAATTCAGTATCCAGGTCATTAAAGACTGGTTATATCAAAAACAAACATACAGTTGTAATAATAAGTCCGTCAGAGAACATCTAAAGTATAATCCATCAGAGGTACATAGCCCAGTCAAATTAGACATGTTGCCTAGCAAAAGATCGGGTAATTAAAATTTTTTATTTATTTTGGTAGGTGTATGGTGAATATAAAAAATCCAAGTTTTTGACATTGAAAGGTTTGTGGGTTTGACACAGTACTCGTAAAATCATTGAAATTTCCGACTTTTTTTGTTTACACTAAATATCTCATTTTTAAAGCGATATAGCAAAAAAAAATATTTTATTCAATCTTAAACATCTTGAAATTTTTTAACAGTTTTACGGGAAACTTTTTTTTTTTAACTCAACAGGAAGCGAAATGTCAATGTTTCAGAATGGGCAAAGTTTAGAAAATTGGCAATAAACGTGCATAGTTTTTTGTTTTTAGCTAATTGTCTGTTTTTTTTTTTAGATGAAATAACTCAAACATGTTTAAATTAAATATTAAAGTAAACAAAACTAACTACAGCTTTTATAGAAAATTTGTTTTTCAAAACTTAACAACATATCACTAAAAACAAATTAAAGTTTTGAAGTTTGAAAAATTACTTTAATAACTTTGATACACAAGTCCAAGAAATGGTCAGTTTGGAGAAGAGTATCTATAGTTGAAAATTGAAGTCAAGTAAGGAAACGTCAGTCATCTTCGACAGGCTAGTCATTTAGATAGAATTACTGACTTTAATGAGCTAAAGATAATAGTGGTACTTGGCTCAAGAAGAGTAAGGTGACCAAAGAAACTTTATCCAACTTGGAAAGACTAAGTAACAGCTAATGCAAGGCAGTTTTTAAGACCCATTGCTGCACTTTTCCGAATTGCTATAATAAAAAGTCAGAGAAGGCTTAGTATACTGTTTTCACTCTGTCTCCTCTGGCTTTTTATAACAGCATCGGGAAATACAAATTAATGCTGTGAGATCCTACAGTTTTCTAATTTGGCCTCCATAAGTGAGCGAACAAATTTATCTGTGACTTAAGCAATCAGTCTGAATTAAATAACTATTAATTGAGAGTGTAATAATAATAATAATAATAATAATAATAATGTTGGAGAAAAACTGTTTTGAAAAAAAAAATAATAATAATAATAATGTTGGAGAAAAAACTGCTTCACTGTTGGAGAAAAACTGAGAAAATACCAGGAACTGGCAATCGAACTGAAGGAATTGTATCATTTGGAGAACGTCACCACCACTCCAATTATAATATCCTCCAATGGATTGATACCAAAGACAACAGTGGCAGGCACGATGGGATTAAAATTACCTCTTGAAGTGCTGAAAGAGGCTCAACACTCAGTTCTCTTGGATACAACACGTATTGTTCAAAAGTTTTTAAATATCTAAAAGGTAATAGATATTAATCTGAAGTGGCTGGACTTCTGGTCCCCCACCTCAGAAACTTACTCCGCAAAGCGAGAATAAAGAATGGAAATAATAATAATAATAATAATAATTACAACTATTTAATATCAGTATGATAATATTATAATTATATAATAATATAATTAATTAATAAGTTAATTACTTAACTTACGGTGTCAAAGGTACATTATCATCATAACTTTGTTCCAGTAAAGACATAAGCCATTCCCTATATGATGTCCTTTGACTTTCATGTAATCCTGCAAGCTAAAATATCAAAGTTACAATCAATAAGGGGACAGTATAACACTTAGGGTGGTATGCATAGTCGTTCCTTTAACTACACTTCCTGTCAAAATATCTATATGAAACTCGATGAATATGGTCTCTCCTTTCAGCCAACTTGATTGAAGAGATGCTTCTTCTTTTAAATATGGTGTGCAAAATGCATTAAAGCATCATTAGAACAACTAGTATATTCGATCCTATCTAATCTTATCAACTGTAAAAGTGATGGTATGGGAAAACATTATGTTGTGTTACAATTATTTCTGAAACTTAAATTGATTCGATGGTGTACACACACACACATATATATACATAATAAAATAATCTTGTTGTATTTTGCATGTTTTTTTGTATTTGCATACTTCCCAAGTCAGTAACACAGTAAAATAAGTATTGACAGATTTTATTATATTAAATTTTAAAATTCATATTGTAAGGTTTCTACCCATTCAATTATTAGTTGTCAAAGAAATACTATATGTACATCATCTTATAACAGATATAAGAGGACAGGTATGACAAGCATGTTGGGGCATGGGTCCCAAAGTGCCTGTTTCTGAACATTATGGGTTTGATTCCCACCTGAATTGGTTAATTATCATTTCTTACGGGCCCAGAGGAAATGAATCTTGACATTTCCACTCTGGTAAGTCCTAGAGATCGAACGATATCAAAATTTCGATCGATACCAATTAATATCGGCCTTTCCCCCCCCCCCCTATTCTTTAAGGTTTGTACAGTTTCACATGAAATATCCTACTCATTGATAATAAAAAACAATTAATAGACCGTATACACATCGCCTGATACACAAATTTTTACACATGAAAGAGAGAAAAACCTATATTTTAGCATATCGGCCTTTCGTTCCTATATGTGCGGTTCCGTACAACGTCGCATAGACAGTTCCGTAATTACTGAATGAAATTATTTATCAATCAATCATATAGGGCTAGATCTATATATATATATATATATATATATATATATATATATATATATATATATATTTCAGACGATATCAATATTCTAAAAACTAATATATATATTCTTTTTCGATCCTCCCCTCACCGAAATTTGAGCTAATACCAATATTCCAAAGACTGATATATCATCCTTACGACCTTATTTTATCGAGATTCATAAAGTTTAATTTGGAATATTATATTCATTGCGAATAAATGTGTCAATCAATCGTCAAGAGATAGACATGAACATACATTTCAGCAAAGACGAATATATCCGAACAGAGACCGGCCTAACTTTATATGATTAAGATTGGCAGAGTTTAACCATCTTTTTTTTTGTGCTCGTATTATTACAAAAATTTTCAGTACTCTCTATAATATATAAGCCTTACAATATATATTTATTATAATTCATAAACTATTATAATTTATTATTATTTTATCATGAATTCACATGAAACATAAACATAAATTTGGGCAAAGACCGATAATTTATTAAGATTGGTAAAGTTTGACCTTTTATTTAATTTTTTTTATGGTCCTCTGATTCCCCTACTAATTTGAGTAGATATCGATATTTAAAAGATCTAAACATCAGTCTCATGACCTTATTTTATCCTGATTCATAGTTTTACAAAAAATACTATTTATATTCCTAATAAATATGGCAATCAATCACCAAGGAATCGACATTAACATAAATTTGAGCAGACACATATATTCTAAAGACCGATACATCGGCCAGATGACATAATTTAACCAAATTAGTAGAGTTTACCATTTTTATTTATTTATTTTTTAGGGCCTTCACTTTCTTTCATTTGAGCAGATAGTGATATTCCAAAGATCAATATATCAGCCTTACGCAATGCCGACCTTAGGGTTGCACAACCGGGGCAATCGCCCTCTGGCGGCGAACATTGGTCTGAGTAATAGAAAATCTGCGACATCAGCTAAAAAAATTTTCTTTTTTATAATTTTAAAAACTAGATAAACTGTTTAATTGATAACTTAGGCAGTTTGTGAGAATATTTTTAGTTGGCAGAATGAACATTCTATACTGTTTTAAGTAAATAGTACAATTGAAAACCTAGTTGATTTTTGGAATTTCGTGTGATTTGTAAAATTGCTTGGGTCGAGCTGATGGTTTATGATTTTTTCTTGAAACTTTATACACTTTTTACTGCCATTTTGCATAATTAAAAAAATATATAATCATTTCTAAAATTTGTTTTACTTCGAATCTTATCTCTTTTTTGTTAACAAAAATAGGTGTTTTAAAATCAAATTTTTACAAACACTGAGATTTAAAGAACCTCTGATATCCTCCGGAAAATTGATTTCTTACAATTTTAAGCAGTCATTGTTAAAGATAAATTAGTATTACTTTAAACCCCCATGGTCCACCCGAAGGTAGTTAAAATTATTTTTGTATGTATAAATGCTTGAATAATTTCTAGGTATGCACTAATACCTCCTATAACTAGACATGCTTTAAAATTTAGTTGAAAGAATTGTATGAACATAAAGAAATAAGGTTCTGCAGTTATTTGTTTCGAAAAATACCTTAAACCAAAACAAAACAAAAAAAAGATTTACATTAAATATTAAATCTTCGTTTTCAATGTTTAAAATTTTAATTTTGTCTACCTAGATAAGAATTAAACTTTTATATTATTGTTTTAACTATATATAACCATCCTTTATTTTAGCTCTAATCTAAATAAATAAACAAACACAACATCGTTAAATGAACTAAAGTTTAAAATTAAATAAAAGGTGGGGTCAATGGGTACCTGTATAAGACGGCCTGAAGGAAAAAACAACGTTTATTTACTTATTTGACTAAGATTACTATTAGTAATAAAATATAATTGTTTTCAATCTCTAGCCCTTATTCTTTTTAAATGTCGTTATAATTTCATAACGGTAAATTGAATCTGAGAGTATTTTGTTAAACCTTTATGAATTAATCTGCATCAGTTGTTGTTAATATAATCTTTAAAATTAATGAAAAAATTATGAATTTTTTCATCAAAAAATGTGAGGAAGTATCGATAGTATTCAAAATATCATTATCAATGGTTTTTTTTTTTTTTTTTTTTTGTGTTGTAATAATTTGTTTGTAATAAAAATAAAATAAAATGTTTATTATTTGAAAGAGCTTCATTGGTCCATCAATGTTTTTGATTATGGGTCGAAGTTTGTTATTTTTGTGTAATTTAATTAGACCATGAAATCTTGGCGGTGTGGAGTCAGATGCTAAAAGTTTGTTTTTGGTTTGTTTATCAATGTTTCTTAAAATTTGTGTATTTTTTGTACATAATTGTTGATTTTATTTATTAAATCTGTTATGGGATTGTTTCTGATTTTTCTATAGGTGTTTTTACCATTTGACAAGTTTTCCATTTTGTTTTTTTTAATCTTCTTTGTATAGTATGGCTATCTCTTCAAAGAAACAATGTTTTGCAGATAATGGGTCTGTCAGAAATAAACAAGAGAAACTTCTTGCTATAGAGGATGAACAGATCCAAAGATTCATCACTTTCTAGAGATCCAAAACCAAACCATACCATGGGGGATGAAGTATTGGGCAAAGACATCTCAGAACGCAACTTCGAAGAAGATGATTACATTGATTCCAACCCTCCTACAGAGCAGGAAATTTTGGAAGCTATCCATAAGCTCATAAATGAAAAAGCACCTGGGGTGGACAACATACTGGCAGAACTCCTGAAAATAGATCCAGTAATCATTGCCCATTACTTTCATTCCCTCATGAAAGAAATGTGGCATAATAGATATATCCCAGAAGAATGGAAGAAATAATTACTAGTTAAACTTCCTAAGAAAGGCAACCTTGGAGAATGTTCAAACTGGAGAGGAATAACACTGACATCAGTTCCCAGCAAGATATTGTGCTGAATTATCCTCGAGAGGATTAGGGAGGTTGTTAATGGTAAGTTAAGAAAGGAACAGAGTGGATTCAGACCAATATCGTGCATTGACCAAATTAACACTCTAAGGATTATAGTTAAACAATTTTCAGAGGTGCAGGCAACTCTATATCTTACCTTTATAGATTTCAAAAAGTCTTTTGACAGTGTGTCACAACAGAAAATGTGGGAAGCTATGAAGGAATTTGGAATAGCAAAGAAAATCATAAATACTGTTAAAAAATCTAGATGAGGATTTCTCCTGTTAAGTTATCCATTGGAAGCAGTGTCAGATCCTCTTAATGTAGGACTGGTGTTAAGACAGGGATGTGCTCTCTCTCCTATCTTATTTTTGATGGTACTCAACAACATTTTAAGGAAGGTTCTTCGTAGAGAACGAGGACTTCAGTGGAGGCTCATGGAAAGACTCGAAGATCTTGACTTTGCAGATAACTTATGTTATTTCTGGAATTTGCAGAAGCTAAATGAACTTCATGAAGAACTCAAAGTGCCGGCCTTAAAATAAATGCTACTAAAACGAAATAGATGTGATAGAATAAAAAATAATTGAAAGGGTTACTGAATTCTGCTACCTTAGGAGTATGGTGAACCAGGATGGGAAGGCTGATGAAGATGTTGGGAGCCATATAAAGAAAGACGAAAAAGCATTCTCGCAGCTTTGGTCTGTGTGGAAATCAGGAGAGGAACCAAGCTTCGCATCTTCAAAACAAATGTTACGTCGGTTCTGCTATATGCTTGCGAGACTTGGAAAGTTACCAAGCAGGTAACCAAGAAGTTACAGATTGCACTACAAATTTATATGATTACAAAGAAGCGCAATATAATTTATTTTGTCAATCCTGTATTAACTCATCACACAAATATATACATATATATATGATTGATTTATTAAATATACGTATTCAATTGATATTTTTCAAAAAACTATAAGATCAATAAAATTAATTCATACCATATAGGTGAACAATAATATTTTTACAGCAATTAGACACACACAATGGCTATAGAAATTTGGAAAATAAAATATAAATACCTTGCTCTGCCAACTAGCTATTTGCATACCATGTTCTTCAAGATGGCGGTTGGCTATAGCAGTAATGTCAGCTTCAGTGAGTCCTAAGCTGAGACCTTCAACAGCTTTAGACATTTCTTTTGTCTGCCTGTATCATTAAATCAATTAAGGCAACATTAAGATATTTCAACTATCTACATTTCAATAGGAAATAATGCTTACTATTTAATCACTAGCAGAAAATTGATGAAAAATTATATTCTGTTTAAAAGTGTAACATTTTAATTTAAAAACAAAGATAAGTCTGTTTTCAGTTGAACAAAAGCACAAATGTTCCTATTCAGTTAAAATAAAAAATACTGTGATAATTTACTTCAAACACTTTACCATGCAGGGGAGGAAGAAAGGAGAGCCCATGAACTCTTTATATTGACTCAACTGATTTTGATAAAACTCAGTAAACGCATCTCTAACTGGCCTATCTACAATTCATAATTGATAAATCACCTGTAAACTTCAGGAGATGAAGATAGATATCAAAATTTGAAAACAAATACTAGCCCTTCACATTTCTGATGGGCTTCCATGGTAAAGAGGGGTTCATCAGCCAATTTGATGAAATTAATAAATATCCTTATTAATTAAAAATACTTAGTGCTAAATTGACCCGCACCTCTTTGACCTTTGATACATTAACTACCTCATTTTGTTTTTCTTTCTTTTTAAAATTTTTATTCTGTTTCTAACATTTTTTTGTTGCTAATTACAAACTTTCATCACTAGCTTGAGAAAAAAATTAATTAAAAAAAAATTATGAGGCTATTATAAACATAAGTCTCTCATGCATATCTTGACCAATTGTAGTTTCTTGTCACAACAGAAGTAAATGGAAGATTAGATTTTACTAATTTTCTAAAAGGTTGATAACAAATGGAGAGACACAAATATAAGAAAAATCAAAAAGTTGAAGTGATTATACAATTCTATAATTTTTTATAGATTATATAATTCTTGATAAATTATATTATACTAAGCCATTACAAATGTCTTTTGCATGAAATAAGTTTTGTTTAAAATTCAGTATAAAGTCTACACATTAAAATTATTTGTTAAAATATCATTGTCAATTACTTTAACTCATCTTTCTGTAACAAGTTGAATTTGCTGGTGATACTAGTTCTTTGTTTTTTAGGCGGGAAACTCTTCACATCCTGATGTGAAATCTTTGTTATCTTCAAAACACTAGGCTTTCAAAAAATGTGCCTACGACTGGAAAGGACCATAGTCAGGCGGTGCTATATCAGGGATGTGAGAAGGATGGAGCAAGATGGTGTAACACCCTCTATTTCTGAGAATTTTTCTTTGACTAAGCATGAACAATGGATAGGAGCATTGGAATACTGAAATATGGCTTTGGTGAACTGCCACAGTTTCTTATTTATTACTCATAAAACATAATATTCAATGTTTTTTTATAATATTTCAGGAAAAGTGAAATTTTCTTGAATTTAAATTTAAAAAAATTAAAAACACTTTTACAGAAAATGTCTACAGATGAAAACTATTCTATATTTTATAGTGTACTCAAAATATATACCTTCAAAATTTTGTGATACCAATGAAAACATGAAATTAGTAAGCTGTATTTTATCTAAATGAAAATGTTTAGGGTCTGTACATATTTGACCAAAGCATGGTACTTCTCTTTTAAAATTCCCTAAACTCTTTGGAGTTGTTCACAGTAAGGCTCAGCATCAATAGCCCGGCCATCTTGAACAAAACATCCTGATAATTCCACCAAACACAAAACATAATTTTTTTTTTTTAAATCGATCTCGGCAAATCTTTGTTATGAGCCTCTTGACCTCGGGTTATCCATTGTTTGCAGATAATAGGATCTTTTTTTAAATATCCATTTTTCGTTGTTCCTTACTATTCTTTTAACAAAATGGGTTTTGAATAATATTATGGGTTTTGAAGAAAACTTTTATAAATATCAACTCATCATAGAGCTTACGCAACTGAAAAGTCATGAGGATCTGAATATTGGATGTATTTTTCTGACATTAAGCTTTTTTAAATGACAGTTTACCATAGGATGTAAAACTACCATTTTGGACAATAATCCTCAAGTGGTGGCAAATGGATCCTGGCTGATAGAATCAAGTAATTTAGCATCATTCATCTATGAAGGATAACCTGATCTACACTCATCCTGAAGGTTGTTGTTCACAGAATTGAACCACCTGAACCAAAGTGCTGCTAGGTTATGATACAATTATTTTATCTAACATTTTCAGTGAAATTTATAAAAGAAACAGAAAAAGTAGAAAAAAGAATACAAAAGGATTAGTCAAAGTAAATGATATTTGCATTGTTTATACCATAGTTGAATGAGGATTAAAATGAAAACTTTAATATGAACCATGAATTAATGCACAAAGACATTTATGATTTTCATCATTAACTTCTAATTGCAATATTTACTTCATTATTATTAAAGGAAATCAGTGAACACACTTGGTTGAAAGTTCTGCCAAATCTTGATCTCTAGCATAAATTAATTCTTGGGTAAGAAGAGAATATGCATGTTCAACTTTTAAAATAGTTTCCAAAGCAGGAGAATGTACAAGTTTATGGTAAACAGTAGAAAAGAGCTCTGAATCATCAGTAAGAATACTACCACTTTCACAGAGTGTACTGTTCTAAAAAGAAACAAAAAAAAAAATATAATAATTTCTGTAGTATAAATGTTACATTAATCATTATACTATATCAACAACTTAAAATATAAAATTGGTGATGATGTTCATAAAATTATGCAAAATTACACTGAAAGATAATTATTGGAAATTTAATTTTAACCTTGAGTACTCTCCTGGGATGTAATAGAAACAAACAAAAATGGTATAACAAATTATTTCATGTTTTTTTTTTTATTATCTCACAAAATTGTAGAAATATAAAAAAAATTGCTAACAATTATGGAGAAAAACCGTAATAGATAATCTATACATATTTGTATCTTTATTTTAATATATACTAACAAGGGTAGTGCGTATTATATCTATCTCATATTTCTATTATTTTTTTTTATTTAGCTGTTTCTATTTTGAAAAAAAAAATTGATAAATTCACAATCATTTCAGCTAATGGATTCTAGGAGCTGAGAAAAAATGAAATATAAAACATGCTGACACGCCATTAGTTTATATCTTGAGTCTAGAAAATGACATAAACATGGTTCTTCTAAAAAACTTTTTTTCTAGAGTGGATCAAAGAAATTTTAAAAATGACCCAGAATAATTGCTTTAAGAAAAAGAATAATAAACTTTTAAAAATGATTAACAACCTCATTTAGGTTTAAATTACTATGTAAATTAGCCTCATAGAATTTTCCACAGTAAAAATTAACACAGATTTTCCATCCTTCCATCCTTCTCTCTCTAAGGTTTTTTTTTTTTTTTATACATGCTCAGCCACATCAGCAACCACATCTTCCCATCTTATATATGTTCTTATTTTTTTCCCTTCTCCCTTCTACTTCCAGTTTCAAACATATATTTGGCAACCTTTCAGGTGTCATTATTTTCACATGCCCAAACCAGCATAATCTTTTCAATATTTTCTATAATGTTTCTTTCCAACTCCATCATTTCTAGAATTCTTTTATTTTTGATTTTTTTTTTGCCTCCTGAATTTTTAACCACCCTTCTCCAAAAATCCATATTTACTGCTAACAGTCTTTTCCGTTGTCTTGCATTGATGACGAATGTCTCAGAGGCATATGTCATTATTGGCTCAAATATAACCTTGTATATTAACCTCTTTGTACTGTCCTGTATATTCGAGCTCCAAAGGATACCGTTGAGTATTGCTGTGCTTTTCTTCCCCATGTCGATATCATTGGTGGATGTGCCTTCTCTATTAAATATTTATCCTAGGTATTTAAATGTCTCTACAGTCTTCATACCTCTTTCAATTGGTTGGTGTTTCATCAGATGAAGTGCCAAGGGGCTCTGTTATCATGAAGTTAATAGTCAAACCCCACTTTTCATAAGTTTCTAAAACCTTTCTGAATATATAATTGATGTCCTCTCTATTCTGGGCTATGATTACTTGGTCACCAGCAAACATTAGATTCATGATGCATAAATCTTCCCCAATCCTTATTCCATTTTTCCACACTTTCTTTTCCATTCTCTGTGAGCAACATCGACATAAATTTTGAAAAGAGTAGGTGAAAGGCAGCATCTCTCACAACAGGTACTATTGTGATAAATTTCTCTTATCATGGGCTCTGAGATATTTGCTTTCTCGAGAGCTTTCCACAATAGCTTCCTTGGAACTGAGTCATAAGCCTTTTCCAAGCCAATGAAGAGATTAGGTGTTTTTCGAAGATCTGTCTCACTGTAATTGATGTACGATCTTCCTGTAGTAAAGCCACTTTGGTCTTCTGTATCCTCATATTTCCTTTCTAACCTATTTTTGACAATTCTTCCTAGGAGTTTCATAAAAGGTTTGGTGACACAAATACCTCTATAGTTTGTGCATAATTTTTTAATTACCTTTTTTATATATGGGGCATAGATAGCCTAATTTCATTTCATTGGGCAAATCATTGCCAGCCAAGATCTTGTTTATAACCCTTATAAATATGATATCCCTAAAAACAAACCTTCTGTAAATATTTACAAATCTGCACTTGCTGAGAGATTAAATTACACTGTACATGAAAAATGTCCTTTAGATGAAATTTGTGTTTATTGTCTGAAAATAAATAATCTGTAATTGTTTTTGGTTTACCATCTACTATTTTTTCAAAAATCCACATTTTAGCTTTTTATGTATTTTCTTGATAAATTTGTATACTTTCTTAGTTTAATTTAATTTGTCAATAACTTACTTATTTTTTGAACTGTTCCACTGCAAATATAGGTGTACACAAATTTAGCAACAGAAATCTATACCAAACATTCATTGCCAGCTCAATTTAAGTAAACAACATTCTTAAGTTCCAGTCCAGCAACAATTTATCTAGTCTATTGGATTGGACGTAATCCCAAATCATAAAAAAAGGATCAATATTTATTTCTGAAATAATTTTGATATAAAGTGAATATTTCAAAAACGTGAGGACAATGTTTAGGATTGATAGTTTTGAATATAACTAAATTTTACTCTATGTGCAAAATAAATATTAGTTCAAAATAAACTCCAAATTACCTTTGAATATAAAGGCTCCCAAAGGTCCAGGACTTTGGTTAATGTCGAATCTCCAGGATTAAATGCTGAAATATATTTTTCTGATTTCTCATCATAATATTTTTCATTATTTTCTTGAATAAACTTCAGAAAATGCTTCATCGCAGCTGAAGAAATAAAAAGAAAACAAAAACCTTTTAGTATAAAATGAAAAAATAATCTAGAGGGCATAAACATATTCCATAATAGTATATTTTATACATCTGTATATAATTGAATAACAAAAAAAATAATAATTGATATTTCTATATTTCTTGTAAACAAAATAAAATAGTCTTTATACTTTTTAATTTTCTGAACCAGATTGATCTCAAACCAAATGAAAATAACTTTGGCATGCACCTTGAGTAATCAAAAACAGACATATTTTGTGGCTTAAATTACATTTTGAAATTATATATATGTACAGAGTGTCCCATAAGTAAACAGAAATTTTTAAAGGAGCAATAGCAACAAAAAAACCCTGGGAAATATAAACAATCATCCTATTTTCAGCATAAAATCAGGAACTCCAAGTTTTGTGTTTTTTCAGGTGTCATATTTTTTGTTGAACAGGAAATAATAACTTAAAAAATATATAATTTAAGCAATTAATAATTGCTTCACTGTAAACTAGACAAAATTTACTTCAAATGAAAGTTGGGTCATTCATTGTTAAAATCATTTAAAGCGGACTTTTAATAAGCTAAACTAAGCTAAGTTCTGTTTTTAAAAATATCATAAAATATTCACGATTTTGTTTTAATCATTATTCAACTATACTACTGTTATCACACCTTTAGAAAAACTTCCTCGTTTAGTAAGCTTCAAGTCCATATTAATTCAGTTTAGGTTTATTAGGAACAAACTTGAGATTAACCTCAAGTTGTGTAACAAAAATGATGTGATTTTTTCTCCTGTTACCTAGAAGTACCCATGTTTTCAGCAAAAATGACTACAATTAATTGTTGCAAAGCTTTTATTTTTTGTTGTTCCATGATCTGGGATGTATTATGATAAACTTAATCGTCTAAATACACTAAAAAAATAAAATACAATTTTTATTCATATTTTTTTTTAAAAATAATAATGATTTTCAAACATATTTCATGTATGTAGAATGGTTATGTAATTGTGTTTTTCACCTAAATCTCTATTATATGAATTGGTCCATATTTATAAGTGACAAACTAAACATTTCTAGTCCAAAAAATTATGTTTACAATAAAGAAACTTGCTTCAATTATTTTCATGAAAACGTAAACATTAGGATCTGGAAAATTTAAAATTTGTCCATTTTAAACATATATCAATTCCTATAATAGAGAATTGATTTTTTAAAACAACTTGAGGTAAATCTCAAGTTTTTCCATAATAAACTTCAATTTAATTAAAATGGACTTATTATGGAAAGCTTATTAAACAAGGAAGTTTTTCTAAAAGTGGGGTATTTGTGCCATAGTTGGATGAAGATCAAAAAAACACGAATAATTTATATTTTTAAAAACAAAACTTAACTTAGTTTAACCGATTAAAAGTTCTCTTTCAATGGTTTCAACAAAGACAAACTCTACTTTCATTTAAAGTCAATTTTTTTATTTATTTGTATTTGCCTCTGCCCCAGAGGGTCTTTTTTTTTTTTTTTTTTTTTTTTTTTATGGATCCTCCCCTTCCTCGCCATTAAGGCTATACGGGGTTTTCTCGGGCCAGGGGGTGTGGGCGGGGATTTAAAAGACTCCCTCGGCACCGGACGCGAACTCGTGACTATTTTTATATCATTTTATTGATATATCAGGTTGCCAGGCAACGGCGGTGCTATGCACACGCGTTAGCCCATTCGGCTACCCCGCCCATCTAGAGGGTCATTGGCGGTAATTCTTAATTTTTATATTCTGTTGTAATAATTTGATTCCATTAAATATTAGAAGAGAATGATGACATCTTCCTCCCTATCTCCCAAAATATTCTTTAATGACATGGACAATTTTAATTTTTATCTTTTTTTTTGTATTAGGGGCACTCCAGTAACAAGTGTTTAACTATCTGAGGCGTGTTATCACACGTTTGGAAGATGGGCGCTTCGAGACCTCTAAGAAGGTATACATTAGTGAAAAGACAGTGTCCAATTCGCATTCGGCGCAATACAATTTCTTTCCTTCTCGATTTTCTGGAGCTTGTATCCCATGTGTTGCACTTGGTTTTTATTTATGTTAATTTAGCTCATTGTATTTACCATTGGCCATCCCAATTTTCTAATGGTTTTTCTCTTGTTTCATTGATCCAATCTTCAACGGATATGTAATTTATTGGTGTTATGCCTGATACTTCTCCCAAATAAGTAAATTTTATCTAGTTTATAATGAAGCAATTGTTAATTACATCAATTAAATATTTCTTATTCAACAAAAAATATGGCTTCATAAAAAGAAAACAAAACTTGGCTTTCCTACTTGCTTACATGAACTTTTTTTGTAGCTCTTGAAGTCTGCTATAAACCATATAAACATTTCCCTCTACTTACGGGACATCCTGTATGTATACGCAGATTGTCTCAGTTCTTAATGGCCAAACTCTGGAGGGTGATTTTAGACAAAATTTCCAACAAAAAAATTCATTTGGTGCATGTGACGATTCCGAACGGAAAAGGACTTAAGATCAATTTTGTGTTGTTTTTTTTAAAGGTGTTCACGGTTTTTATAGAATGAGAATAGCTCAAAAAATTGTTCAGGATAATTAAATTCTATGTACACTATCGTAAAATAGACAAATTTTTTTTTAGAAAACAATGATTAAATTTACTAAGGTCAATGATGAAAGGGACCTTCAGGAGATCCAAAACGGCTACTGTACTGCTGCAGGTACAGTACTCATACCCAAACAGCATATCTCCATGATCCCGATTCGTGAAATAATTCGGCATAATGGTAGTCTTTGCGTTATTAGACCTCCTGAAAGCCCCATTTACCATTGGTCTTAAAATTTAATCACTGTTTTCTCAAAGAAAATTTTTCTAATTTACGAAGGTATACTTAGAATTTAATTATCTTGAACAGTTTTTGATCAATTTCTTCTTGTTCAATAAAAAACATAACCACCTCAAGAAAAACACAAAATCGGTCTTAACTCCTTTTCCCTTTAGAATCGACCCACACATCAAACTAACTTTTTAGTTGGTAATTTTGTCTATAATTACCCCCCAGATTTTGGCTATTAAGAATTGGGACAACCTGTATGAATATACTGGGTGTCTGATAAGTAAAGAGACATTTTTATAGGAGTGATAGCGGACATCAAGAGCTACAAAAAAGTTTATATAAACAATGGGCAAATTTTCAGAAGAAAAGTGTTTTTTAAAGCAAGCCATGCTTTTTGATGAATATAAAAAGATAACTGAAGAAAAATTTAATAAAAGTAATTAATAATTGCTTTAATGTAAACTTTTTATTTATATAAAAAAATTAAATAATGATGTTTCAAATATTTTTAAGGTAAAGTGGTTGTATAACTGTACTTTTTCTCCCATATCTCTGTCATAAGAATTAATCTAAATTTATAAATGACAAACTTAATGTTTATTGTCCTAAAATATAAGTTCTAAAATATATTTAAATACATACATACATAACTATAAATCTAATAAATTCAAAGTTCCTTATATGAAAGTTATTATCTAAAGAATCCTCTGTGTTAGTAAGTTTTCTTAACGAATCAATGAAAAATTCAAATATCTAATTGTTACTTTTATTTTTACAGTTTATATGCATTATTTTCATAAATAAACAAAAATAAGTAAATGGAATCAATTCATTTCCATTGTCAGTTACATTGTTTCATAAAATATTTGAATAGTTGAATTGGTTTAATTTACTCATTTTTGTTTATTTACAAAAATAATACATATATATATATATATATATATATATTTTTTTTTTTTTTTTTTTTTTTTTTTTTTTTTTTTTTTTTTTTTTTTGTCGGTTGACTCTACAGACCGTGTAGATCTTTGGCCGCCTGAACCAGCCTTCTCCACCTCTGCCTATCTTGGGCTACTACTTTCCAGTTTGCTGCATGGAGCTCAGCTGTATCTTTGTTTATCCTATCTATCCATCTGGTTTTTGGCCTCCCACGTGGTCTCTTGCCTACTACTCTGGCATTCATTGTCATGTAGAGGCGTCCTAATGGATTACTAAGAGCTACATCCCCTGCCCATCTTAACCTCCTTGCCTTCATGTCATGAGATATTGACTGACCTGTTTCTTTCAACAGTTCTTTAATGTTCCTTCTCCTCCATGTGTCAAGGTTCTGGTCCCATATAGGTCCTGTTATCCTACGTAGTACTTTTCTTTTGAATCTCTCAATTCTGGCTTCTAATGTGCCGGTTAGAGCCCAGGTTTCACAACCGTACAGCAGAACTGGCTTAATCACAGCGTTGTAAACCCTTATTTTGAGATTTCTGAATATTTTTCTGGATTTCAGTACCTTTGAAAGAGAGAAGAAAGATCTGTTCGCACTTGTTATTTGCTGGTCTATCTCTGTTAGTTGATCATTTATTGAGGTTATTGTGGAGCCGAGGTATTTGAATCTGTCTACTTTCGGGAATGACTTAGAATCCACGCAGACCATATTATTAGGGTGGATGTTTCGGCTAATAATCATGTATTTTGTTTTATCTACATTGACCTGTAGTCCGATTTGCTCTGCTTCTTTTAATAGAGTCCGAGCGAGTCTCTCAATATCCTCTTGATTACTTCCGAGGACAGCTATATCATCAGTATATACTAGGATTTTATGTTTCATTTGAACATGCACCCCTCCATCTTCGCGTGATGTTATTCTTATTACTTTCTCTAGTGCTAAGTTGAACAGCATCGGCGAGAGTCCATTTCCCTGCCTCAAACCCGTTCGAACTTCAAAGGCTTCAGATACGTCTTCTTGTATTAGTACCCTGCATTTAGGATCATTTGTACAGGCCTTCGTCAACCTCACTGTTCTATTTATATATATATATATATATATATATATATACACACACCCCCATACCAGACTGAAACGACTAGAAACCGATGTTTTCGACTACTGCAGCACTTACTAGACAAACACTCTAAGCTTTCAATCAATTACAAACGACTCACATATATGACAATAATAAGACCTATTTGGACTTACGGAATTGAGCTTTGGGGCTACACTAAACCATCGAATTCCTCTCGTATCCAATCCTTACAATCCAAAATCCTTCGTAAAATCCTCAACGCTCCTTACTTTGTCACAAATAAAATCATCCATAAAGACCTTAATGTTTTCCATATGTTTCCGATTTGGCCCAATCCAGATACCTATCCTTCCATAACAAAATGCAGAACCATCCGAATCCTCTCGTTTCAAACCTTGCTTCCTCCTCGATCCCTGATAACCCTCCGAGGCGTCTGAAAAGAAGATGGCCTCGGGACCTTCTAATATAGAACTTTAATTTGAGTTCTACCAATGGGTAGTTTCTCTTCATGTTGTACATGTCATGTTACCAATGTCACATTTACTTATTGTATTTTCTATGTAATACAGTTGTAAATTTCATTAAAATAAAATAATAAAAATATATATATATATATATATATATATATATATATATATATATATATATATATACACCTTATATATATATATATATGTAAGGTGTCCCTATGTTTCCCGTTTTTTTTTATTTCAAATTATTCCCAGATTTTCCCGCACATTTCTCTGTTACACATAAAAAATATCAATAAATGCTGGTATTTGAAATGAATTAGAAATACACTTAAGCTAATAAAATTTATGGGATGAACATAATTACAGGACTTCTTGAAATGTCTAATATATATATATATTTTTTAAATGTAGTCCCTTTATATCAAATGAGCTTTGTATTTAAATTGAGTTGGGGTTTGTGAAGCGCTTTTTACCACCAATAATTTTTCAATTTTGATGGGTTTTGTAGCTTTACGCATCTCTATAGTCCCTCCAAATTAATTTAGTGTTAAAAATTAGAAATGTTAAGGATGAATTAGGGCAAATAATTAATGAAGATGAGGAAATATTGGAGAGATGGCAGTGCCATTATTCTTCATTGTTCTCTGGTGGCTCGGAAGAGAGTGGAGGACAGGCAAGAAACACAAACAGAAGTATATGATGACGTGATCTGGTAGGAGGATGTCATGTGAGCTATAGCGAAAATGAAGATTGACAAAGCAGTAGGCAAAGATGGTATTACTCCAGAACTTATAAAATTTGGAGGTCCACAAATACAAAAAGCTTTACAGAACCTGTTTCAGATTATACTTTCTTCTAAATCCAAGCTGAGGAGGAATGGGGGTGCAGCATCATCTTATCGATCCACACGAAAGGAAACTCAAGTGAACGCCAAAACTATAAACCTATATGTCTATCCCCAGTAGTCTATAAACTTTACTGCTCCATACTGGAAAGAAAACTCAGACTAAATGTTGAAGGCAAATTAGAAGAGCAGCAAGCAGCTCTTAGACCCCACCGTCAAACACAGGACCACATCTTCTTGCTCAGGTCGATTATTGAGAAGCTATGGGATAGATGAAAGAGTTTGTACTTGGCGTTCTTGGACATAAAGGCAGCATTCGATTCCGTCCCCAGAGAGGAAATATGGACAGCTTTAGCCACTAAAAATGTTCCCACAGAATTATTTGGTGCCATAAAACCTACCTACCATGACTCCAAAGGAGTAGCTAGAATTAACAGAAGAATGTCTGAGACCTTTGCCATGAGAAGGGCTGTAAGACAGGATGACAGCCTTAATCCTCTCCTGTTCATAATATTTATGGAAGAAATATTGAGAATATGCAAGCGAAGAACAACACGTGCAGTCGTGGGAACGTGGAATATGAGGAAAATCCTTGCTCAAGTGATGGTTTTCGAAGATGATATTGTCCTCAATGCCAATTCCAAAGAAAATTTACAAAAGGCAGTTACTGATTAGGAGGCTGAGCTAGAAAGAAAGGGCATGATATTAAATGTTGGAAAGAGCAAGGTGATGTACATTGGTCGTGAAGAGGAGGAAATTTGGTTCGTTGCGGAGGAGAAACCTTGGAGACAGCGCAGGAGTACAATTATCTCAGAGTAGTGCACAGCAGAAACGGGAAAATGGACCAAGAGCTCTCAAACAGAATTACGATAACTAACAACATATACTACCAGCTATGCTTACCTACTCTTATTTATGGAAGTGGAAAAGTAACCTAATCTAACCTGGTAAATGACAGATACTCTCAGCTAGGTTTGGGATTCCATGTATATATGTGAAACTACAATAGTTCTAATCATGCTTCTCTTCATTTGTATCCAAGAAATATGAGAATTCTAAATTCAAATAACACAGAAAATGATGCTGACATGTGTAGATCATTGCAAGTTCCTATGATAACCTTCCTAGACACAAGGGGAAAAAACTTAATATTTAGTTTTATATTTATATTAAATTGGTACCTCTCATGAAATCTAATATGAAGATTGAGCCACAAATTATGCAAATGTAGCACCCACACTATTTGTCCGATTCGGACAATCGAACACTTTGATACATATTCGCCTTATGTGTGGTTTTGGCATAAATCTATCACTAAATAATATCACTATCATATTACAAGAATTCTGATAAATATAAGCAGATTTTTCAACTTATCACTAGAAATTTCGAAATAATGTGTAGTAGTTACCTATTTTTACACGAGGAGAAACTTTAGTTTCACAAAATATTTTTTCGAAAATTTCTTCCGGATTTTCCTGACATGGAATTTGAACAGTTTCTTGGAATTCTCCACTACATACAGAAGTGTCTTTATTCAATGGATATTTAAAAACTATTGACTGCAATTTTTTTTCCTGTTCCATTATTAAAACAAAAATATCCTACTCTAAAAAAACACTAAAACACTGATATCTAATCAATTAAACCTAAAAATACTACTGATATTAAACAAGTTTATAGCCTTCTTGTAAACAAACCCAAAGAGGTAATCGATTTACATGCTGGATGAGGTCTAGATAGGATGACCGGTAGCGTTAACTAAAAAGTAATTGATACAGCAATAAAGGATTATTAATAAGCTCTACCGTCCTTATCGGACCTGAGCCTCAGAAACAAGCTTCCGCTGTAATTTTGGTTTTTATTTCGGCCTGTATTTTGTTTTGATCAGTCACTACCACTCTCAGGTATTTGAATTCTTCCCCCATTGATAAATGATGCTGATTGAACATATTTATTACTTGCTACATTATTCCTTGAGGAGATCACGTAAAGGCTTTTATCTTCATTTATGTTCAGGCCAAGTTGCTTGGATGTTCTTTCGAATTTCTCAATGGATCCTGCCAGGGCCGACAATGTACAAGTGCTGATAAGAACATCGTCCGCAAATGCAAGGTATTGTGTTAGTCGATTGAAACCGTCTCTCCAGGATTGGTCGTTAGTACTCTCATAGCCCGCTCCAGCGCTAGATTAAAAAGGGCTGGTGAAAAAGGGTCTCTCTGCCTGAAGCTCTGTTTTACTTCAAAGCTGCTTGAAAGGTCATTTTGAATTTTGACTTTACACTGAAATGTAGAGGTATGGGCATAAAGATTGGGAATGGATTCAATCTCCAGTTTGCTGACTACCACGTACTAATTGCTTCAGAAGCAGAAAATGTGGAATATATGATGAGAAAAATTCTCCAGGAATATTCAAAGTTAGCAAAAAAACAATAAATAGGGTCTTTAATAGCGAAGGTGAATATCTACAATTAGACAACCAGATGTCGAAACCTGAAGCTCAATTTAAGTATTTAGGGAGCTGGGTAAATACGGCAGGAACATCGGATATGGATATTGAAAAGAGGATAAGCGAAGGAAAGATAATCCTTAGAAACTTAAATTCGGTAATGTGGAGTAAGGCAGTGTCCTTAAAAAAAAAAAAAAATGATTTACAAATCGTTCCTAGAAGTTCTCTATTCAGCCGAATCTTAGGCAATTAAAGAGAGCCAATCAAAAAGATTATATCCAATCAGAAATGGATTATTGGAGATCATGTGGTGTCTCTCGCCTTCAAAAAGTTCGTTTGTTGTTTACGGGCGTAAAACCCTATGGTCGTCAAAGCCTACGGTTTATTTCATCTATAAATTTGTAGAAAATTTAGACAATACTATTAAATAGAATAAAATAGAAAACAAAAAAATTAAGAGCACAATAGAAAACTATGTACAAAATTTACAGAAAATAAATGCTACAGAATGGAATAGAATAAGAAGTAAAAATGGTAGGTTTTTAAAAATAATAATATGGTAAAAGTGATACAGTTTAGAAAGGAGTTGCAGTGTTTTTAGAAATTCAAATACCAATGCGACTGAAGTATCATTGTCATTAAGGGCTATAGACAAATTTGGGTTCAATCCTATCCTATTTATACCTGAAATGTAGTGATTACACTCCTTAAAAATATGTCTAACGGAGAGCACACAATAACGATACTGACATAACGGAGGCGGTTGCTTTCTAATAAGGTGTAAATGCGTGAGTGCTGTATGGCCAATCCTCAAGCGGGCCAGAGCGACTTCCTCCCTGCGACTGCTGCGGTTGGATGTTGACCATGGTTTTACCATGGTTTTAACATGTTTCAACTTACTAGGAGGGCTTTCGTCCCACGTCGCTTGCCATCTATCTGATATCTCTATTTTCAGAGATCTACTGAGTTCTGCTGGGGTGAGAACGGCGGTACCCCGTCCAGGGAGCGTAAGTGCCTCTCTGGCAGCTTGATCGACGAGCTCGTTGCCTACAATCCAAATGTGGCACGGAATCCAAATAAAATAGATGAATCTACCCTGGTTTAAGAGAGTGGGCAGATATGTTTGGATTTTCTGAACAACTGGATGTTCCGGAAACATTTGTTTTATACCTTTTAGTGAGCCTAAAGAATCCGACAACTTGACGATAGTCTTTTGAACCGTTGATTTGCAGAAATGGAGGGCTGAGGCCATCGCAAACAGTTCGGCTGTGTAAATAGAGGTTAATTTATTTAGTTTAAATTTATCTATTGAATCACAAGTAACAAAAGAAGCAGCCGTTGAGTTTTCTGACTTGGATCTACCGGTATAGATTGAAAAATGTTCCGGAATGTTTTCAAGGAGCTGAGATAATCTTTCTTTATATTCAGAAGAGGTGATATTATTTTTAAGAATATGGGAGAGGTTTAATATTGTTTTAGGTGGTTTTAAGGTCCAGGTATGTCTATATGCTATATGAGATATGGGCAACAAAGAGAGAGATCTATTGCAGAATACGTTCTATAGCTGGAGCAAAGAAAAGTGGGTTCTCCAGAGTTAATAAGGAGTAAATCTGATACATCAATGAATGTTTCTATTGTTCTTCACCTTAAATTAGTATCTCGAGAGCCCCATAAAGAATTATGGCCATTCAGATCACCAATATACAAAACTGAATGGGGTAGATGGTTGTGTATATCTAATAAATGTTGAGAATTTATTTATCGATCCTGTGGGAAGTAAATATTGCATACAGTAAGTGGGAAACCTAGGTGTATCGTGACTGCTGCAACTTGAAGATGAGAGTTAATTGTGATTTATTCAGAATAGACGGATTTATGAACGGTAATTAAAACGCCTCGGGAACTATGACTAGGGTTATTACCATCCTTACGACAAATTTCAAAATGTTTTATCGTAATGTTCTATGGATGAGAGATGTGTTTCTTGAAGGGCTATACAAATTGGGTTTATGTCATTTATGAGATTTTTTAAATCATTAAAATGGATTTTAATTCCATTACAGTTCCATTGGATTAGAGCCATTTAATTTATATATTAAAAAAAAAGCGGTGAACAAAATGACAAGGAATGAATACCTTTTTTGGAGTATACATCAATGCCTATAAATAAATAATAATAAAAGGCTTAGCGAACCCGAAGGGTAGATGCCGACACCACCAATCGCTCATTACACACCTCCCTCCACCGTTCGCCGTCCAAACCCAGTTCCTTCAGATCGGCCTTAATGCAATCTTCCCACCTTTGCTTCGGTCTACCCCTCGGACGTTTACCATTCGGTACAGCAAATATTAACCTTTTAGGAATTCTCTCGTTACTAAGCCCAACAATTTTACAAGCCCATTTGATTCGCCGCGATGAAATTACCTCAATTATATTACTCGGATACAGTTCACGCAATTCGGCCTTGTGTAACCGTCTGAACTCTCCGGTTAACTCATACTTCTTCGGTCCGAATATTCTACGAAATACTTTATTTTAAAAAACCTTAAGAGGCTGCTCATCCCTTTATGTAAGCTGCCAACTTTCGCATCCATAAAGAACTGTAGGTATGATAATGGTTCCGGACAAGAGGCGCGAGTTAAGTAGTTTTGTCACAGAAAAATAACAAGCATTTCACGCATTCAGTCTAACTTTAATCCCTCCTTCAATTTCGTTTCTTCTAGTTATCTGTAGAACCTAGATACCTAAATGTCTCTACCTGTTCAAACATATTACCATCTATATCAATATCACCAGTAGTATCGCCATTTTTGCAGCTAACCATATATTTGGTTTTTCCACGTTTATTTCGAATCCTAGTTCTTTACCGGCTTTCATTACTGTTGTCGTATTTAGTTTTATAGTTTTCCCGTCTTCGCTTAACAGTACCAGATCATCAGCATAGCCCAGCACGGATGTTGTCCCACCCAGATCCAACCCTTTTTGGGTAAGCATTACCTCTCTAATGGCATGTTCTTATGCCAAATTGAACAGGACAGGCGAAAGGGAACCAAAGGGAACCCCTGTTTCAAACCCGAATGAACCATCAATGCCTATATTCAATTTTAGTATAATGATGCAAACCTGTTTTACCGATAAGAGTAATGAAATAATAATAAAAGAGCCATAAATATAAATGAAAAATATGGAGAGGAAAAAAGAATGATAGATTTAATTATTTGGTCAAATATCTGATTGCTGTGGATTATTACATAAATTATTAGTGTAGCTAACTTTAATTGTATAACTAAGTCCTTTTTTGCGCATAACAAAATCAATATGTGCGTTATATTATTATATAGTGTATATATAGGGAGATTAAATAATAAGTTAAATTTCAGAAGATAAAAAAAAGAGAATAAATAAATAAATATGTTAATAAAATAAAATATTAATATATATATTTGTATATACAGTATATACACACACACACACACACATATATATATATATATATATATATATATATATATATATATATATTTTTAAATTTAAGGTATTTAACATAGACCACGGGCGAATTTAGGGGGGGAGGGCTTTCGGGCTGAAGCTCTCCCCAAAATGATAAAATATAACTATGTTTTATGAAAAAAATTATCTGTAAAAGTATTATTGTTCATTTAATTACAATTAATAGGACTTCAACAATCACTTAAAGATCGTTTCATAAAGATAGTTAGTTTCTTTCTTTCTTCTGAAATCATTAACCCAATATATTTATACAAAAAAAATCTTTCGGGCTGAAGCCCCCCAAAATTAAATCCTGGATCCATTAGTGTTATAGACTTTAAATGTTAAATGATATGAGGCCACTCATATGCGAATACTATGTCGAATTCAAAGAATGGCCTGCATTAGCATTACTGGGGCATTCCGCACTACACCTACAAAGGCTCTGGAAATCTTATTGTCATTGACTCCGCTACATCTATGGATAATGGGTGAGGCGGCTATGGAATTTTTAAGAATGAAGGATAATAGACAGTGGAAATTAACAGGGACACGCACCGGCCACTTAGAAATAGCCAGGAAGGTGGAAAAAGAGTTACCTATCTTACGGTACCTCTCTCCGCCGCTTGCCAAAAACGTTACTCTAAATAGTAAGATTAGCTACCTGTACCCTAACATAATAGATTGGGTGCAGGATTCTGTAGAGACTAAAAAGGACTACCTGCCCTGTTTTACTGA